TTGAGGAAATTGCTTTTATCGTTCATGACAAGCAAAATATTTTCCTAGAGATATTGGGTATTTCATGAGTATGGTTTTACGCCGCTTTTATCAGGCTGAGTATCCAAGCAATACCAGGGCGGGGAAAACACACAGAAATGGGCTTCACAAACTGTACCCATGTGGGGAATCGAACCCGGGCTTTCGGCGTGACGAGCGAATGCTTTAACCACTAGGCTACCCCCACCGCTCCTGGTGTCTAGAGAATGGATGGTAGGCATATACACAGATATGAGGTCGTGCTTGTACGAGGGGCGCGCATTAACGATTTCCTCGACCCAATTCCGACAGACCTAGACAACCACAACATAGGCACCACCTCGAGGTAAACACATTTCCCATCGATTTATGCAACTCAGGAAGCCTTGTTTGTAAAGGTCGGTGGGTTGAGCCTGAAACCACGACTTCACTTCGGAAACCAGTGTTTCATCATCAAGGCGCCGTGTTCCCTTGGAAAATGACTTCATAGTTGGAAACAGGTAAAAGTCAGATGGTGCCAGTTCAGGAGAAGAGGCTGTGTGTAGAATGTTTTCATAGCCACAAGAGCGCGCTTCTGTCCGGTCAAAGTGCTTCCAGTGGATAGGCTGGACTTTAGTCTCTGGGTCATAGTGATGAACCCATGTTTCGTCCTGTGTCACAAGTCTGTCAAACATGGCTTCCTAGTTTTCTTGGCACATGTCCAAAAGAGCCTAGCACATAGTCGTGAATGATTATTTCCACAGACCCTCCACTTATCTTCACATTTTGGGCTAACTGGCGAACAGTTATACGTCGGTCTTCTAAAATGGCAGCCTCCACTTGCTGGATGGTGTCTTCATCAATGGCAGAATGGGGACGCCCAGGAATGGGAACCGTTTTAACAGAATTTCGGCCACACTTGAACTGGCGATGCCAGTGTTTTACAACATCATATGATGGGGCATCATCCCCTCAAGTTTCTTTCATTTCATGAAAAAGGTCGCCTTTGGCGTGCGAACTTTCAAATATGAAAACCTGATCACTGCTCGGTACACCACTGGCTCCATAGTCACACTTTACTCCAATCTTACACTTGTAAAGGAGGAAGCAGTGTGAGTTCAGTGATGTGACATATAGCTTCATGTATAGCTTGACAACGGTGGGAGAACCTACACACACTTTACTCCAGTTGTTCATCCATATATCTTATCCCAACTTATTGTAATATCTTTTGTACTATGCCTTGTATATTTGCCGAGAGCTACACATGTGAAGGTTCATATATTCCAAACCAGGATCCTTTATGTTTGATATTTGCTGTAAGAATTCGCTACGACTAAATTATTTTTCTTGAAACGATAATGGTTGTTTGATCTGCATGTTTTTGTATGCTTCATTAACAATAACTTATTCATGTTCATACAGTCGAGCCCATCAGCAGTTGTTACTCCTTGTTTTACGCTGATCTCGAGCCTCGAACACTAACAGTGAATGTAAACACCTCTTCCATCAACGATATACCGGCCTTCGGACAAAACGAAAGGTAACACTTCTATTTCATAATTTATTGACAGACATATTATATGTGAAACATAATTATTCATGATTATTTGGTTGGTAGTGTTATGATGAGACAACTGAGCACATAAAATATTAAAAACATCCATATTTTTTATGTCTGTTTAGTGTGGGCTTGGGAAGTTTACACGTGGTTAACATAAAGTAATGTCTCACATTTACTCAACAAGAAAAGAAACTAAATTTGAAACATTTCAAGAAGGCCACAAACTTATTACTTCCTGTTCCTCTTTCCACTTCTACTACTCCACCTCTCCTCCTCCTTCTACTACTGTTACTACTACTACTACTACTACTACTACTACTACTACTACTACGACGACGACGACGACGACTACTACTACTACTACTACTACTGCTACTACCACTACCACTACTACTACTACTACTACGACGACGACGACGACGACGACTACTACTACTTCTACTACTACTTCTACTACTACTGCTACTACCACTACCACTACTACTACTACTACGACGACGACGACTACTACCACTACTACTCAACTAAATGACGACTTTTCTGATGCTGTTGTTGAAGGTTACACCCTGGCAAACAGATCAAAATGCTCCTGCTGCTACAGCATCTACTACTCCTACTGCTGCTACAACTACTGTTGCTGCTGCTGTATCAAAATTGTTTACGCGACAAACCTTTATCATTTCTGGCACAGATTGTGTAGCATAACACTATTGACAAGTGCAGATAAGGAAGTGCAGGTAGAAGTTCGTCGATCGCTGCTGCCTTCGCCTTGCTTTAGTCACGGTGTCCAAGTTTTCGAAGGTTCGTGGCTAAATTAATATGTTTTTTTAGAAAAAAAAATCAGAATTGACAGAAATTCTGTCTGCCTGAACATATACAAGACTGGCATGTGGTTTGGTTTATATACTACTCAAAATAGAAACGCATAGCTGAAAATAGTCAAATAATCATGCATGTAATTTTAGTGATGCAGCACAGTGATAAAGAAAACACTGTTGAACATGTATTGTCCAATGGAAGTAGAGGTGGGACGTGACAAATGACATTTGCAGAAAGGTCAATGTCACAGAGCAGTCAATATCTTGTGTTACCACCATTAGCACCAATGGTTGCCTGGCATCGGCGTCCCATAGACCTGGTTCAGATCTGGTGATCGGGAGGGCCATTCAAGAACCTGAACGTTGAGCTGAGCAAGAACATCTCTTGAACGTTGTGCTGAGCAAGAAAATCTTGCTGTATGCGGTCGAGCATTGTCATGTTGGAACATGATGTTCTGACGGTTCACTAATGGATTGACATGAAGCCTGATGATTTCACCACAGTAAAGTCAAGCTGTAAGATTGTCTTGGACGTGAATACGATCGGTTCTTCCACTGTATGAAATGTCTGTCCAAACCATAACACTCCCGCCACCAAATCTGTCCACTTCCTGTACGCATTTTGGAGCACACTGCTCATAACGTCTGTACACACGCGGTCTCCCGTCAGGATGCCGGAGCATATACCGCGACTCATCACTGAACGCAACAGTTCTCCACCTTTGTAATCACCATTCACCATTACAGATGGTTTCGACACTTCGTTGTTGCCGATGGTGTTCGGAGTCCTGGCACTACAGATGTTGTAGAGGATGCGGTCGTGAACCTGTTCCGTTCCATGCTGCTGGTGCTAAAGCCTTTCTATGGTACTTGGGACACATTGAATTACCTTGCAACCCCTGACTGCGACTCACCATCTTCCAAATGACCGATCGCATTGTTGCGCTGAGCCTCGGTATGTCTAGGCATGACTTCACTTCAAGATTTACGTTTGTCAACTACCGCTAAAACAATCAGACCCCCTTGTTTTTATTGTAAAAGTTGCACGGATTGTACATGCAAAAGAAAGCATGTATTGAGAAACACAGATTTGGTTGCGTTTTGGCGACCAGATTCAAACTCGAAAATGGTTGGAGGAAACTGTCACCATAGGTGTACTGATTAAACACACACTTATGAGTCATTTTCGAAATATTACATGGAAACGTACTGGCCATGTCTTTTTTTTGTTTTGAGTAGTACACATTATTTTGTTGTTAAAGCCGAACTGAGCAATATTCCAACATATTGCGGCCGGCTTAATCGATTGTTCCTCCGTATCCTATTACGATAAATTGTAGAAGTTAGATTGTTGTCGTCAAACCTGACGTCAGTGGCACAGACTTTCCTTATTTCCAGACAATATAAAGAATTATTTACTCAATGCCAAAGAATTGGACAAGTCAAGACCAAATTGTAAACATCATCAGTATGAAAAAGTTTTGAACGTACACATGAGAACACGTGTTTTAAACAATACCAACAGCTTCAGATAATCCGTAACTCCGTGTTTCGAAAGCATCAATTATCTACATGTGTATTAATCATCGCCTTTTAAGAGATAAAATACAAAAATCGTATCAAGCGCCAACCATATAGTGACTCTTAACTAAAGTCAATTTCCTTTAAAGATAACATGATGTAATCATTTTCTAACGTCATGAATAACGGAAGACGTCATTCGACATTGTTCTCCTCAATGCAGAAATGTGATTACATATGGCTTTAACTGAACACTCAATAAAGTCGTTGAAATGAAGATATGAAGATACCTGAAAGATATTAACCTCGGGCTTTGTACCCTTATGGATAATACCGTCCATGGACATCTTATGATTAACGCCACATTGTGTTTTCCTATAAGGACCTCACCTGCGAACTTCATGGTGCGAGAACTCTACACCTTCTTTCCGGTCATTGGGGAGCAGTTTGGCGATCTGGTACAACGCCAGCAGTGTTACCGATGGTTCTTTCACTATCGACTACCACGCAGTTTTAAGGCAAACGTCCGATATCCCACATTGTGATTTTATTTCACAGATCTACAACCAGACAAATTATTCACCTTCATCTAAGGACGGTATGTATAATCCCTAAGACATATCTTAAGTATATACCAGGCATCTTTTATACGAAGCTTAAACTGCCTTAAATCTAAATAGACGTGAGGCATGTTAGTGCAATATGCAAATAAACATGTGTCAGAACGCTGCCTTGACTCGGCTGTCAAACAAGTATGAAGATATTTTTTTTCTAAACAAATCATTTTTTTTATAAACCTTGAAGACAATTATTCTTCCGCTTAGAATCATGATGATTTTCGTTAGGTTTTATTGAATGGCATTTAGAAGACAGTTTTGATGGATGTCAACTTTCTGTATTTTGAGGAACACAATCTTTCGGAGTATGTCCCTACTCCTTCATCTGGTGAATGTGTTCACCATTCACCAGATCAAGGAGTAAGGATATACTCTGAATCGTTCTGCTCCTTATAATAAAGAAGTTGACATCCATAAAAAACTCTCTCCCTGATTTTCTTTTCGTATTTTATAAAATCAACGTATGTTTGCTTCACAAATGCAGCATGGTGGTTGTGCCGCACTTTTCTTTATGCCGCGACCTTTCCGAGGACCTTTACAGCAACAAAGGGGGAGTTCTTCACAGTGTATCCATATTATGAGAGGTATGTCATGACTTGACGAAGTAACCATGGCGTTTAATTTAAGGAAAATTCGATGAAGGGAAACAACTATTTGTTTTCAAAACGCTCTAAAGTTTCACTACTGTTTATTAATTGCAGTGGTCACCATTAGTATTGAATTCTTCAGTTTTTCAGAAATTATGCCCCTGGCCTCCATGCTGTTATGCAGTACACATGTAACAAGTGGTTCCTTGCCATTTGATTAGCTATCGAAGCAATAGAAAGGCAGATGCTTATACCGCTGAACAATGTCAGTGATTTCATATTATTTTGTACAGTTTCATGAATGTTGATAATTGATAATTAATTAAGCAATATGTGATGTAAAGCGCAATTTGCTTAGAGACACTTTTAACTTACAAAGAGTGCACGATATATACTTTTTACTTCGAAAACACAAACGTATTGAAATCATTTATATCCCTTAGTCTGTCATGCTTATACTCAACGGGTTTTTCTTAAACCTATAGTGTCATTAGTGATTTTCAGTTATCTGTCCTCAGTGTTATGGACTCGTGAAGATCCGGGGTAGAATTAATTGATCTTCAGTAACCCATGCTTGTCGTAAAGGCGACTAAAGGATCGGGTGGTTAGACTCGATGACTTGGTTGATACATGTCATCGTATCCCAATTGTGTAGATCGCAGCTCATGCTATTGATTACTGGATTGTCTGGTCCAGACTCGATAATTCACAGACAGCCGCGATAAGGAACAAACCAACCAGCCACAGTATTTTGCATTTCATCCCCAACAGAATCAGTTTCGGCGGATGACTTTTTGATGTGTTTTTGTGTTGACGTTATGTAATTACTCAACATCAGAAACAACTCTGTGAAGACACTTTTTATTAACAGATTGACGCGGGAATGGAGGATCTGGTCAAGCTGGAAAAGAGGTGTTTATGTTGAAATTGAGAACAATCCAAACTTGAGTTGTTCGCGTGGAGTCATCAGAGTATACGATTGTAAGTTAACACTCATTGCAATAATGTGCTCAATCTGTTGTTTGTTAAAAGCAAGCAATTGCCTTCGACATGTGCTAAACGTACATTGTTCGCGTATATGTGTGATGTGAAAATTACTTCTATTTGTCTATAGTCCGTTTGCAGTGAAAACGTACCGATGAATTTCACTTTAAACAAAAATGTAAATCAAATAAAGTAAAATTAAGATTGCGGATCCTCATAATTTTACCTTGCCAACTGAACATTTAAATCTCAAAATTTTATTCAACTTAGGATAAAAGTTGTTTAACAAAACGATCATAATTTCATATCGCTATGATTGGTTTGTATTACAAGGGGGACGCGCAGAAGTTGGAACGGTGAAACACATGCACGTGCGGTGCGTGATGAGCGTTAACTTAGACTACCGTAGACACCAACCCTTCTTGTTCTCGGGGTTTTATTTAATGTGCATACCCCCTTTTTTTACAAACCAATAATAGCGATTTGAAACTATGATCGTTTGTTAAACAATTTTTATCGTAAGTTGAATAAACTTCTGAAATTTTAATGTTCAATTGGCAAGGTAAAGTTATGAATCTTAATTTCACTTTATTTGATTTACTTTTTTGTGAATTTCATCGGTACGTTTTTCACTGCAAACTGACTATAGTTACTATTGTTCGTATGATAACTAAACCACGTTTTGCCTAATAACTGTATTCGTCCAATTACTAGGGACACTAACTTGAAATTTCACCAAAAACACAGTGACCTGATATTATTAGTATATTTTCGGGTTTGCTTGGTGTGTCTTTTGCGTAATCATTATACCACATAAACTTTCCATTTCAAACTAAAGGTGAACCTCGCAACTACTACAGATACTTAGGATCTTGGTGTTATGGAAGGAACAACACGTTCCGTACAGCATCGTGCATGGCTCTACGCTTCAACGCTACCAGCCTCCCAAGTGGAAGCAACACGATCTTCTCTCTGACTTACAGATATCCAGACACATGTTCTCATGAAACAACAACAAGGTGGCCGTGGATTCCAGGTATAGACAGCGTGGGTCCTTCAACACCAAAACTTATGTACCACTGTGACTATTTGAGTTCACGCTGACATATACTGACGTGTCTGACTTACAAGCAATCATAGTGAGTGAGTGAGTTTAGTTTTACGCCGTACTCAGCAATATCCCAGCTATATGGTGGCGGTCTGTAAATAATCGAGTCTGGACCAGACAATCCAGTTATCAACAGCATGAACAGAGATCTATGCAACTGGGAACCGATGACATGTGTCAACCAAGTAAGCGAGCCTGACCACCCGATCCCGTTAGTCGTCTCTTACGACAAGCATAGGTTGCTGACAAGCAATCATAAGAGGGGTTGTGAGGTAACACTGGGTACAACTAAAACTGCGAGACATAACAAGTAAACAAAAAACGTGGAAAATCTCGTCCGTCATTTGCAGTAAAATCTAGATTTTAACACAAAAAATGATAGACTATTCCTTAAAAAGGGAGCTAAAATTACTTTGTAAATCATAATAATGTATTATTTAGTGGTATCTGTTGTTTCAGCTTCACAGACAGCATCCACTTCCAGCCAAACTGGGACTATTGTAGGTTCGGTCTTCGGTGTTGTGTTGTTGGTTTCGGCCGTAGCAGGTGCTCTCATTGGGTGGAGAATCTATCGTAGAAAGAAAATGTCTCCTTACCAGAACCCACAGATCACACGTCAGAGAGAAGCCGGTAGTTCTGCAATTTCAGTAACAAAGCCATCCTTCTCCAATGTTGTTTACGGGCCGGCTAAGTCACCAGGGAATGACAAGGAAGTAATAGAAGACCCTGACACACCCGATACCAATAATCATCCCGTGTTCCAGCAAACTGAGTAAATAACTCTCTGTCAACAACGTGATGCCACGCTTCCCAACGGTAACGTCGAAGACAGATCAGTCACCTACGACAACCATTGTAACGACGACAAGGAAGTCTCAACTCCTGACAACGTGTGTACCACACCTCAGAGCTACGACAGACCTAAGGGCAACGTCAAGGGAGAATCAGTGACGTACGGCACCCTTTGTCGCGGTGCAAAGATGGACTCTGAGATCTAAGGCGTGACCTTGTGAATTTCCAGGAGGCTTGGGTTTTTTGCATGCGACAGGTATATTAACTTCAACAAGTCCACAGACCAAACAATGTTTTAACCCCAAACCATCTTTTCAGAACATAAAGCACGTTTGGTAATTTTTCGTTTACCCAAGTTGGAACGAAACGGACCGGACTGGAGTACGAACATATGTTTATGCCTGCGCTTGAAATTACAATATAAACAGATTTAATTAGAGCGTTTGTTTTTGCGAATGTCACAACACAATGAATAATTGAATCATTAAAGGTCACATGCAACGTAAAACACAACTTTGCAGATTCTGATACCTTTCGGTATGGACTTACCGAAACAAATCGTCAAAAATGCAAATTCAACTTCTAAAGTTGAAAAATAACGCGATGAAAAAAACGCGCGAAATCGGAGTTCAAACGTTTCACTAATTTTCCCCCGACTTTTCTGGGGAAAACGGGTTTCAACAGCTGGGCTGCGCTTATAGCACGTGCGCAGTGAAGTAGGTTCGCGCAGCTTGGAAGCGGTTGTCCGGTGAATACTCGGTGAAGGCTTTGGTGTGAGCTATTTTTCTAATGTTTTGTTGATATCTCACAGGCGCTTGCTTTTTATATGTTATGACAGTAAATTAACTGTTTATATAATTTCATTTGTCTATTTCACCACACGTTCTTCTTACCGAGTCACTTTCTCAGTTCGATACTTAAAAGCAATGCCATTATTTAGCGTTGACAGAATTTCCAACTGTGATATAGATATGTCGTTGTCACAGACTAAACTCAATGTCTTGTTTTATTGACACCTGTGTGTCTGCCTGCCTGTCTGCTAATGACAATATTCAATACACAGCTGCTATCACTGACCACATGCAATTTGAACTTAACACCAATCAGGCTGTACACCATAAACAAAATGCATTGATTTATGGCCCGAGTTCGGTCTCTGTCACATTATGTAATTACACAGACAGGCAGGTGTGATACTTGAACACATGACATGTTATGATGTCTGTTGATTGCAAAATGTTATACACAAAAATGAGCATGTATTTACAAAACCCAACATCTCTATATATATACACACACAATGACCCGTGAGGGCATCTGCAAATGAACCAGCCGTTACACTTGAGTGCACACCCACCCGCTCTGACTGGGTTCGGTATCCCGGCTGCTTCGTTTCTTGGGAAGTAAACCGAAGTACACAATATTGCACTTTTGATTTGCGATTGTACGCTTATAATTTTGTTTATATGTTTTTTCATAACCAGCAATGTATATTATATGTCATGAATAAGTGATAATTGTGTTTTTATTATGTTTGATTTTTGGTTGCATGTGACCTTAAAGTTGAAAAATCCACATGTATATAGAAAAGAGTTTGCCAACACAACAGGTGTTGGGTATCTGTTACTTGAGTCCACAAGATGGTGTCAAAGTTGAGTCCACAATATTATTCGTTATTAAATGTCATTGGTAAACAGGCTATTGTGTACCTTGAATACAATGGCAGCAGTACTTTGTATTGCCACCGGCACCGTCTCAGCACAGACTTGATCAGTCTTCCCCACTCTTCCTGCAAACGATGGCCAGATGTGGAAGTGTCTGAGGCGTGTTTTGACGCTGACTTACCCGCCGACCGAGTTCATCCCATAGGTGTTCTAGATTTGGTGGTCGGGAAGGCCATAGCAAGACACTGATGTTAGAATTGGCAAGGTAGCATACCGTGACGCGTGCTGTATGTGAAGTAGCTTTGTCATGCTGGAACGACTCCCCCTGTCGGTCCATAATCGGAAGCATGTGACGTGCAAGTACTTCGTTGATTTGCTGTCAAATTCATCTGAACCACCACTAATTGAGATATTTATGTGCTTGATATCGCACCCCACACCATGACACCTATTCCACCGAATTTTTCGACCTGTCGAATGCAATTAGGAGCAAAGGTTCATTTCTCCGACGGTAACCACGCTGCTGAAGAAATCTTGATTCATCACTTAACCAGACTCGACTCCAGTTTCCAAGGTTCCAGTTCCGGACTCTACGACACCACCGCAAGTGATTGCGCATATGGAAGTCTCTCAAAACAGGGTCGACAACTGGTTGCAAATTCTTCTCAACCTAGGGATGCGGTGTGCAGTCTCTACACTTGTGGCAAGACGCAGACGCACGTGATCAGCCCGAATGTAGCGTTCTTGGGCTTGGGTGGTAACTTTGGGCGGAATTGGCAGGAAACGATCCCCATGGCGAGATCTGGTGCTCTGATGAACGTTGAAATGTCGGGCAACTGCAGACCGTGACTCCCCAGCTTCAATGCGGCCTATGGCGATGTTTCGACTCAGTCGTGGCATGATGATTTCCTCTTTTCCAGGCAAAACGAAAGCCAAAATTAAACACAACGTTTGCCTTTTATAGTAATCGATACCACATGCACGTGTATTTTGCTGCGCATGTGTTTATGGTAACGCTTTGACGAATATTTCTTCAAACGCTTCTAAAAACTAGGGGGAAAGTTAAAATTGCCGCTGACGTTTTGGAAGAAATAGTATATTTGTATTGTTTTGGCCGCAGCTACATGAGTCCAATATTCTTTTGAAAAGTGTAAAATTGAATATTGCTCAAACATGACTGGATACATATTATGATCAGGTTGTATGTTTCGTATAATAACGTTCACTCATGTTCAAAATAATATGTACCACTATAACAATCACGTACATATTACTTTCACCTGGAGGTGAACACGGGTTTCAACCTCATTATACATAGTGCTAGGATTCTATCACTATATAATGAAACTTTTCCCATACAAACGTAAGCGATATATCTTCATTGAGTAGACCAAGAGTAAGATTTGAAATGTCTTTGACATAATGTTAAATGTAACTTTCAGTCACGCATGTAATGAAGTATATAACGTTGTATATTGACTTGGTTGTATGCTTCGTACAATAGCATTCACTCATGCACAAAATAATGTGTACCACTTTAAAAATCGTGTACACATTACGTTCACCTGGAGGTGAAAACAGGTTCCAGTCTTCATATTGTTAGCATTCAATCACTATACAATGAAACTTTTCCGATACAAACGTAATAATAATCTTCACTGAGTAGACCAAGAGTATGATCAATAAAGCGTCACAACACCAATCTTCATTACATATTGCTAAATATAAATTACATGACGTTTACATTAACAGTTTCATCTTATTGGTGAAATGTGACATTTGTGTCAAAATAATAAACGTACTGTAACTATGCATTATAAACGTGTAACTCGTCATTTCATAAATGCGATTTTTAATTTAAACAATCCAGACCGTCTTTCAAACCTAAGTTTCAAATTATCCACGCACTAATGCAGGTGAAAATACCACTCCTCAGAACTCCCTTCAGAAAACCATAAATAACAATATTATTAAAAAAAACCCTACTTCTCAAGACAACCGGGTTGGGCAATGTTTACATACTGATAAGACGGTTGATTTGTAGGTCAGATCGGAAAACAACGGTATACGATGATTCATAGCATATGCACGATGATGGGTTGGCGGCTATCGTGAAACCCTTGTATTAAGTAAATACATACCGTAAAACAGGCAAAAAGTACCTTTGTCACGATGAAGTAAAATAAAACTGAAACTACTGTGACGGTGTGGACCAAGATGTTATCAGCCGTCATCCTGTCGAGACCGACCTGATATCTTGATATCGTCTCGCTACGTTCGGGGTCAAAAAGAAAGCTTCGCATTTCTTTCCATGTCAAACTGCTGTACACCTAGACGTCATTACATCATGAAAGGCACGTGATTCTTTTGCTACCACAGTACAAGACAAGAAATTGTAACTAGCTACAGTTAAATGTCTTGTTTTAACATACGTATTCAAACAGCAAAAAATGGGTTTTGATAGCTTGTCAACACGATGTATTACTAAAGGACAATTACCTTCGTGCTACCGGTATTTGTGGTGAATATTCCAACATACAATGCCTGTTTAGTTACAATGCTGATAATAGAGGTAATCCTTAGATGTGTCCAGTGATCAACCCCACACCAGGTTTGTACACATAAATCACTCAGCCTTCCTAGTTACGGTGATCTTCAAATCAGGTCATGATAGATTTATCATAGATGTTTATCAAACATGCGCTATTAATGGTGCGGTGTGTGTGTGTGTGTGTGTGTGTGTGTGTGTGTGTGTGTGTGTGTGTGTGTGTGTGTGTGTGTGTGTGCGTATGTGTGTGCATGTTGAACTATTCCTTCCCGTTAAACGTGCATGCATAATGAATTATTAACATTTACCGCCATTTTCCAATACCCAGTAACACATTCTCTACACCAGTTACACATTTGTACATTTTGTTGAACATTGATAATTTACTGAAGGTAAAACATAAATACATACGTCCACGGCTAACAAGTGTTAGCCAGATGACATGCGATGAAGAGATACCTCTATAGGCGAAAGGTGCACTCTAAATAGTTTAACATATTTCTTATTTGTGTTTTTTCTGGCAATAGAAGTGCACAGCAAACATAACTGTTGACCCAGGTATAGGGAACAAGGTACAGCTTATATCTTTGATAACCTCGATACGTTAGCAAAGATGTCAGCGCAAGGCCAGAACTCACACAGACGTTGATCTCAAAGTTGTTCAATTGCTGTCCAGACAGCACATTTAACTCTCAGCACATAAACTAGGTTGTGCTACCTCTCAAGATGCCGCCATTTACACGTCCTATATATTTAGGCGGGTCTTCCACTTTCTCGTCGTCAAATCCGGGGACAGACAACTCTTTCAAACTCGCTGTGATGGGAGCTTCTTCTGTAGGTAAGAGTGACATCATCAACAAATTCATCAATGGTACCTCTCCGAAATGCTACTGGCCAACTGTGCAAGAACGTTATACCAAAGATATGGACGTAGATGGCCGACACGTCGTCCTTGATATTTTCGACACTCCTGGAGGGTATTGTTTCTCTTATTTACGAGAGCTGGCCATCGTCAACGCTGATGCATTTGTACTGGTCTATTCGGTTGAAGATGCGGTATCCTTTGAGACAGTGACTTTACTTAGAAACTTGATTGCTCAACAGAAGCCAACAGGTGTTCCTGTCTTAGTGGTCGGCAACAAGGCAGACGTAACGACAACATCTCGCTTTATGTCGAAGAAAAAAGCCCACAGCATGGTAACGTCAGTTTGGCAAGACGATTACATGGAAATCTCGGCGAGAGACGACTCAAACATTTCTGACATTTTTACAAGTGTCGTGATCAAAGCCTGTTCTGTACCTTCCAAACCAAGACGCCTTACAGCCCCAGGTGCACTCGTCTCTTTTAAACGCAGATTCTCAAGATTATTTAAATCTGATCGACAGCGGAGAAGTCCCAACAAAGTGCAACAAGTTATGTATTCTTGAATGACAGATATTAAGTTTAAAAGACATCAATGTAAGCTTCGTTACTATGTAGACAGAAGAAATAAATCTTTTGCATTATTCAGTATGTTGTTGTGTTATTATTTTCATTTATGCACAAAAACGGAAAGCTTTCATAATCTGCTTTACATCATAAAGTGGGGAAACTAAAAATGATGAAACAATTGGCGAAATCTGATTAGACGTAACGGAATCTACTAATTGTGAATAATGCAACTCTATTTATACATTATTGGTGGCACTAACACAAACATAAACGTTGTGTTCCTCATAATATAAAAAACTCTTCCTCATGTGTATCACTTCTAAATGCCATTGAAAGACCTATACTGCGATAGTTCAACGACGAAACTGTCCTGGTAGAGCATGAACGGGATAGTTGAACAGGTATACCAGCTAGAAATTACTAGAGAGTGATAGTGTCAACGGTAGTGTGTATACCTTCATATATCATGAACTGTGCGGTCTACAACATAAGTATAAACAGTTATAATATTTGTTTGTAGTAGAGAACACAATCATTGCATATAAGACACTTTCACTCCGCACATCACATATGTCTCATATTATATTACGTCGACAAGGAAATAATATTATATCTCTTTGCAACTAATCAACTTTAATCTTTAACATTGGGCTTATATACTCATGCCAATAATGGTTGTCATCCCCTCCCCACCCCAACCCCCACTCACCCCACAACCCTACCCCACACATCCTCTCCAATAAAAAAATTGAAGGGGGTGACAACCATTATTGGCATGAGTATATTTCCCATCCTTGGGGATATTTTAGTCTGACTATTTTTTTGGTCATTCATATTTCTTCAGCGAATTCATTTATGACAGCCAGGTTACAGGTATGTTCAATTTGTAAATATTTTGAAGTCAATTTTGAATAATTTCGTGCTTTGAAGTTTACACAGATTCCCGAACGTTGGTTGAGAGAGCGGTCATGTGATCTTAACTTCAAGGTTCATTTCCCTTGAACCCTTCAAATCGTTCATACGTGTGTAAACATCGTTCATACGTGTGTGAACGTTTTCGAGCCGATCTGGGTCATGTGAACTTTTGCCGGAACTACTTTCCGGGTTTTCCCCAGGATACTCGCTGTCCAGCTTGACGTAAACAAAATAAATCATTTGCATTCACACTCCTTTCAATTTATACATATCACTTACTTGTTTTTGTACGTAACAAAAAGCGCCAAAAGAGCCCAGTTTTGCAAAATCTGACCGACAACGCGTCCCACAACAAGTCCCAGCCAGTGCGACCTATTTTTCAAATTTCCGCTACGGTTTCAAGGACCCCCAATGATCGTGCTGCATTTGGTGATTTAGCGAGCGATCCTGTTTCAAGTCACCCCAATATTGGCAATGTCACTTCTTCACGTGGATTTCCAATTGCCGAGCATTGTTCCTTATCATAAGAGTTTAATCTCTCGCGGTTTTGCGGGTTCTGCCCCGTGATCTGTTTAAAAACTGCTCATTAAATTTCACAATAAACAATCACAAGTAAATAGAATACACCAACGAAACTGCTTCCCATTCGCCACGCCGCACAACTTCGAAGTCGCTCAATGTATTATTACGCGGTCAAACGAATCCGTCATAGTTTTATAGGTACAATGACAGTTTGTTAAAATGATATTGTTATTGATATTTGTTTCTGTTTGATAATTTCATTGATGTTATGCTTATTAAAGCAGTCTCAAACCTATTGGCGAATTGGTTGTAATATTTTTATGGAATACTTTGAGAACTATTTCTTCAAGGGTTGGGATTCATGTGTAAAAAAATCGCCAAGTATACAAACATCGCTACAATACGGTCTTGAACAGAATGACATTACAACATTTTACAGGTATTAAAACACATCACTGTAAACAATGATCAAGTAGAAGTGGGTAAAATACGTATGTGTAAACATCAAAGTGCGAAATTATAAGAATTGAATGTCACTTTGTGTGTTTGCACTGAAAAATGAACGATGTCAAACGTTGTGCAAACTCGTGTGAACGAGCGAGTTTACGAGTATCTGCTTTGGCATTTAATGTAGCTGAAAGTTGTTGTTTTTTCTGTTTGCATATTCAATAAAATAATTGTCATTTGTGATTATATAGAGGATATTTTGTTAATGTTGTCAAATAACATGTATATTTCAGCGAGTGGTCTGACAAAGTTGATATGTTCACGTGTGGCGCCTATTAATAAACCCTATTCAGAAATATAATTGGAAATACAAGGTGAACAGCTGGTAATAATTACATTAGAATATATGTTCAACAAATATGTTATAAATATCTTTTAATTGTCAAGTCAAGTTGATATAATGATAATATCATTTTGAAGGTCGTTATTCAGAGTACTAGCAAGCAATATTTACATATACTGGTTACAGCCAATAAGGAAAACATGTTTCTCAATGTTATTAAATCTTGAGGGAAAGATACATTTAAACAAATGGAACCAAATAACCACCATCTAAATACAAGGAAAAAATATATTAATAGTCGGGTGAAAAATATTTTACATAAAGTTGAAAAAATTTTCATGAGGCGAAGGGTTTTGCCACAATATTTCATCTGGGTTCATACCTGTCTTTCGGGCTTTCCTATCAGGTTTGTACAAGGGTGTACTTAAGCGTTCGTAGCACTACGCCAGTCTTAAGCCGGTGATATAGTAAGGAGTTACGATAGGTCGTAACGTAACGAACGCTTTGTTGATTGGAACCCAGATGTTGTAACTTATCGACTTATACGACAACCTTGTCATCGGGATTAAGACCCAGACTTTGGTAAGTGGGAGGACCGGAGGCAACGGCGTGGTCGTAGGATGGTGGCAACCCAGGTGAACCTGCTGAAACACATGGCCCTTTCAACTCGGAGGCTTTGTCAGCGCCTTTCGCGTTGCCCTTTTCAGCTGAAGCCTGACTTCGGCGTCTCTTCCGGCTACGAAGAACGCACACACAGACAAGGATGAGGACAGCCAGTGTCAGAACACCGGCGATGACCCCAAACATAATCGGGTGACGGTTGACTATGGGTGGTAGGCCTGAAAACATGGTGCATCTATTTATACATGTATTCTAAACTTCCCTTAACGTTAACATTCCATTACAAGACAAAGCAAATTTCACTTTACACAACGACAATGAATCCTATTCAGGAAATCAATGGAATTTTACAACATTTGTGCGTGGCTGAACTGCACCTTTTATGGGACCAATTATCTTTTGGATAACGAGACCACACACTTAAAGCGTCCTCTGTGATGGAACGTTTTTGGCTCTTTATCTTTCACTTTTAGCATAGTTATATTATATTATATAAAACATTAAGCGCATCATTTGTTTCGGTAGACATCAAAATGCCTTAAATCCCGATTTTCTGACAATAAAAAGAGTTGCATATGAAATCTTAACGTACATGCCCAAAACAGAAGAGAATCACCACATGACTCAAAACAAAAAATAGCGGTGCAGTGTGTAGATATAAACAAAGAAAATATCATTTATGTTACTAAAATAATGCAATGATACCATTTTGAATCTTTAAGCATGTTGTGAAATGGTATGATTCAATGCACTTACCACATATGATGAGAAAGCCGTATGCTATCTCAAATGTAGACCCAGGAGAATTGACATCAGAGTGAAACTTGACGTACAGGTACTTCCCAGAGCTGGATACAGAGACATCTTCACCTCGGCACCACTTTCCAAGAGACGGATCGGAAACATGGTAACCTAGGGCATATAAAACAACCCTGCTTATATCATGTATATTTGCATCATTATACAAAACTGAATTGCTTGGCAGCGTTATTTCTCAAAATAGTTATTACTAGTATGACGTGACTATTCAAACAATCCACTGCAGGGAACACATAAACGACACTATCTATACCCACTTTGGGATCGAACCAGGACCTTCTGTGTAACTACTACACTACATTGAGTATCAGGCAGAAACAGTTGTCAAGTATATATACAGTCATAAAAAATGCAATATTATTCTATGTTTGTGTAAGTGAGTGAGTGAGTGAGTTTAGTTTTACACCGCACTCAGCAATATTCCAGCTATTGGACCAGACAATCCAGTGGTCAACAGCATGAGCATCGATCTACGCAATTAGGATACGATGACCTGTGTCAATCAAGTCAGCGAGCCTGACCACCCGATCCCGCTAGTCGCCTCTTACGACAAACATGCGTTACTGAAGATCAATTCTAACACAGATCCTCACCTGTCCTATGTTTATGTAGCAACATATATATTATCAAAACATAAGAGAACTACACGCCAAAATGTGTAAAAAGATTACCTACCATCAAACACTTCAATATAGTCTGTTACACATCCCTCAGAGTTCTGGAAGCTGGACAAATTCATACTGAGATCAATGCTCGTTGCTGTGGTACGTAATCTCCAAGACAAGTCAACATTTCTGAAATTGAAATGAGTACCATATTGTTATGCAGTTCAAATAGTACATATAAATAGGTGTTTGAGATTAAGAAGACTGAAATATAATCATACCATAAAGTGTAACAATACATGTATAATTATACACGTAAATGACATTTACGAGACACATACGCACACGCACATGCGCACACACACATATTACCATCCCTAAAGATTCGGGTTAGATTTAATTTCTCTGTCGTAAGATGCGACTAACGGGATCGAGTGGTCAGGCTCGCTGACTTGGTTGATACATGTCATCGTATCCCAATTGCGAATGTCGATGCTCATGCTATTGATCACTGGATTGTCTGGTCCAGACTCGATTATTTACAGACCATCGCCAGAAAGCTGAAATATTGCTGAGTGTGGCGTTAAACAACAACCAAGCAACCAACAACACACACATACATAATAAACTCTTTTAGTATTAAATGAATGTTAGACCCAGCCACAATTTTAAATGCATTTGACTACTAGTCTCGTACAGTACACACTGGTTATCCTTCTCGTCCTGTTTATCTGTGTGTTTTAGGTGATCGTTGTCCTTTGCCTAATTTGTTTTAACCATGCTGTATGTCTCACTGTTGTAAAAGGAATTCCTTTGTCGTGGCAATAAAGTATTATTATTATTATTATTGTACCTTTGGACGGAAGGAAGGCAAGTAAGCCG